TCGTGAAATCGTTAAATTTGAAAAATTGTCGATTATTGGCGAAATAAATATAACCATCAATGTAACGATATGCTAGTGTCATATCTGATGGTATTACTGGAAATACCATTTGTAAAGTGTGATATTTAATAACAGTCATTGTACATTCGTTTATCTCGGCTATGGTTTGACCGTTGAAGATCACATATGTTCGTCCCTTGTTGGTATTTATTGCAGCAATGATTATCGCGGTTGTTGGAAGTCCTATGTCCTTGAGAGTTCTTGGCCAACCCGCGCTTAATGTAAAACTAGGATAATCGACAATGTAAATTCGATCTCTAATAAATAATACAATCTCACCTAAGGGTCTTTGATATGCGGCTGACAGAGTAAAATTTTTTTCGGGAAAAAAATTCATATATATAGTTGTGTATTAATAGTGGTCCGTTATTGAATGTTCTGTCATTTATGCTGAACGTCCTAACGTAACGTTGATATGTTACGAATATTCGATGATCTAATACTAGTATGTTGTCAACATATTTCAAATCGCACAGATCCACGTATTCGGGCTTTGTTGTTGTTGTTGTTGTTGTGGGAGTCATTTCTGTAGTCGTCATCGGTACGGATTCCGTTTTTGGGGAATTGTACTTAACTCCGTATAAATATTGAATTGCTAATATATCTTCTATATTCAACTCTCCGGGATACTTTGAGGTTGCATATGCAAACATTATCGAATCGTTGCGCGGACTATGATGTAATCCTAAAGCCTGACCGATTTCGTGTGTCAATATTAGAAGTAAATGTATTTTTTCCGGAGGATTCATATTTAGCTGTATATACCACGGTTCCGTTTTGTCAACATGTATCTCGGCGATTTGACCATCACGATCGCTGAGAGGGAATGCGTGAGCGAGTACGTCATCAGGACCGTCGAGTGCATATGGACAAACATCACCATTGCGTCGATTCGCAAATGTGTGAACACCGTTACGAAAGGATATTAAGATATCGGGATTTACTGCTTTGCGTGTGAATGTTTCGCCCACATATTGAACGCCATTTCAGCTACTTCTATTGCAGATTTGTCCGCTAGATGAAAATTCCACGTGAGATTTGTCTTTTGCCACTTTTTTACCTCCGTGCTGAACATTCGATGTGGAATATTCTCGAGTCCGCATCGTGATGTACGCATTGAATGTAACGTAGCGTTGTTTAGATGACCATCCCCGGGAAGCTGATAATATTCTTGAAATAGTGCGATTGCGTGTTTTAATACCTTATTATGATTCACTGATAGTGTGTTGTTTTCATGTAAATAGCCATCGTTGAAGATAATGGATTACTTTTGTTTCGTTGTATCCGTAAATGATCGGAGCGATCGTGATTATTACGATGATGATGAAAGTGAATGCGAGTGACATGCTCGGTTCACGATGTAAATGTACTTTGTCGCAGTTCTTCTTGAGAATGATTGAGGCGCAATCACTACGTACAGTATGGAAAAAAAACGCGAATATGATATATATCGATAAAAATCGAGCCAGGTGCGATTGTGCGATTATGTAATCTGGATCAGAATCTGCATAGGAATCGTCACACATGACGCATACACGTCGTATACACATGCATGACGCATACACGTATTTGCTGTTTCGCGACATGAAAATTGGATATTATATAAGGAGAAAAATAAGAACAAGAAAATAAGATAGTCGTTCTTTCATTTTTAAAACTCTTATATGTAGTAAATAATAGTTATTTATGCATCAAGGAAAGGAAGGCCGTCTTTCAATGGGGAGGCTGATGTCTTTGGAACGAAGAGTAGGCTCGTGCGCGCTCGCGCGCACGAGCCGTATCTGACAAGGAAATGGCACGAACTGTAAACTACCAAATGAGATGAGCCATATCCCATTCGAAAGGGTGGGTTGCGTGTACTAACACGGTAAAAGGGTTTGCGTGAATGGGCTTTGGTTTCTGAGAAAATTGCAAGTAAAGTTGGTCGTCCGATCAACTGTGCGGTAAGTACCCGAACCGTGAATCGGTAAGCAGGAAAGCGGCGTAGCAGAACAGACTGAGGCGCACGGTGTTCTTTTTCTTCGCGGGCGACGAGAGTTTGATGCGAGTTCGCGTCCCCACAGTGTCAA